ACACACACACACACAGAGGAAGAGGGCGAGAAAGAGAATTTTATTTGAGCATTCGATTTGCAGGTTTTTGGTGCCATCCGCTTCTGGGCCAAAGAAAGCGCAAGTGGGTCCAACACAGAACCCAAAAGAATAGGACAATTGATAATAAATAGGGTTGGGATTCACGTTCACGTTCGATTTTTAGTTTTAGTTTCAGTTTCAGTTGTTGTGTGTGTATTATAAATAATATGTATGCATGTGTGTGTGTGTGTGTGTGTGTGTATGAGAAATGTGTCTGGTTGGGTTAATTGCCTAATGAATGGAGCTACAATCGATTGTTTGTCTTGATTATGCGGGCTTTTCAATAAGGGAAGGGAGCAAAAGAGGGTTAAAGGCAAGCAATGTGACAGCAATCACATGAAAAAAAAATACAACACAAAAATACCGGCTTTAATTCGTAGGCGATTTCAGCCTTATGAGCTCAAAAAATTATAAATAGCGATAATTACGATCAGCCTCTTTTTAATTTGTATGTTGATAAATTGTACTTAAAAACTAACTGCAAAACAGTTTCAATCTTTAATTTGTTTGCCAAATTATATTCCATATTTTTCATGCAATAATTTCCGACTAATAATGAGTTAAATAAATATGTGTGTCATAAATTGTTTGTGTTTCTCGCTTGTCCGATCAAAATAATATTTAAGAAAAATCATAAATGAAGATTATTTTAAGGAATTCTATCATATTTGCAGAGTAAAACTATTCCCTATGTGAGTAAAAATCAAAGGCAAAAACAATAAGTAGCCATAGCTGCACGATCTTGCATAATAATATTATTTAATATTGCGAAGACTGTACAGTGTACACACAAATTAATCACTCAGCCCAATAATTATTCGTATATTCTTGTCGTAAAAAAGAACCAAAAGATATTATTAAAAAAAAATTAAACTAAAAATTATCAAAATAAATAATTTAATATAAAATGTTGGCATAGGAAAATTATTAATTTAAACCAAAAATATTTCAAAACTTTTTCAAAATACGAAAGAAAAAAAAAAGGTGAAAATGGTTCTTAATATCGATTGATCTATATAATAGCTATATTAATAATGGCTTGCAAACTTTGACACAAAGTGATGACCAAGTTACTGATGGTATTAGCAGTAATATTAGCCTATTCAGCTAACAAGGCAATTTTTATCGATTAATTTGCATGCATATTGTGACAAATTAACTGCAAAAATCCCATATAACAGCTGCTAAAGTATAAGATGCTGAGTACGAATACTTATTAGACGGACTGTACATGCATCAACAGATGTTCGTATTTCATATAGATAAAGTAGCTGTTGGTTTTGCCAGTCTCGTTGTTAGTTTTTGTTTTTCTCTTTACATTTAGCATCTGCATTGCTCATCTACACGTAGTGACATATCCATTTATTCATTTATTAGTTTATTTACTTGGCAGCTCGGTGACAATTTCATTGCGCTACAAATATTTCAAGCCAAAAAAAAAACAACAACAATAACAAACAAAATAAGAAGAAACACAACAAGAGAAGCGTCGAAAAGATATTCCAAAATGTGCCTTCATAAAGTTTGACAGTTTTGTGTCGTACGAAATGTTTGACAGGCCCCAGAACAAAAATATGGATGAATGCTGAAATGGATGTGAATATGTGTGAATCAGTATGTATATTTGAAAGCGAATGGATAACTTGAATTGAGCTGGAATACGTGGCAAACGTCTGTAGCCGAAATGTTCTTTAGATGCCTTCCAGAGCACTTAACTTCACGCGTAATTTATTGTGAATGGAATAGAAAGGACTCATTAACACGCAGTAAACACTCACTCACACACACACACACACACATACATACATACGTGTACATATATTTGAAGACCATCTTTTTAGCATATTTATATTTGCGTAATTCGATCTACACGCCTAAAATTGAGATGCTTGCTTCAAGTTCGCGATTAATCGTAATATATTCAATTCTTAATGTTCTATGCAAAAAAAGTTGAAGATGTTTTGATTTAAATACGCTTTCATATGCTAAAAGTTGTTGTTCCCAAATGACCATATATTCATATGTATATATATATATATATATATATATATATACATGTATCTACGATGTATGTGTGTGACTGTGTTTGATATAAAAAATAAAATGTACTCGAATAGAAATAAAACACATGTCGTTCACATTCAAAGTTGGAGAAACTTTAAAGATATTGGAAATCATACTGAAAATGAGCATGGAAAAGGGAAGGGAATAGGGGCATGGGGAATGTTATTGCGACTGGAGCAAATTGGGAAAGGGCTGGCAGGTCGCCGATTCTGGTTCGGGTTCGAGCTCGAGCTGGGTGTCTGGGCTCTGCAATGTGTGGCCTCAGTTTTCGGAACATATATATATGTGTATATATATATATATATATATATATATATATATATATATATATATATATATATATATATATATATATATATATATATATATATATATATAAATTTATATATATATATATACATGTACACACGCACACACAAGCAATGAGTGTGTTTGGTAGTAACAGTAACTACTGCGTCTTGGGCTTGACTCCAACTGCCAACAATGGAAATCATTCATGGCACACACATACACAACACACACACACACACACACACACACACATAGAGGGCATAATTTTATGAAAAGAGTTTTGTGGCTCGCCCCTTTACATGTATGTGTGTGTGTGTGTGTGTGTGTGTGTGTGTGTGTGTGTGAATATGAGTACGAGTAACGGGTAGTGGATATGAGTACATATAAGCACTTTAGTACTCTATACATGTGTGTGTGTGTGTGTGTGTGTGTGTGTGTTGTTACCCCTGACACCCTGCGTCCCTGTCACGCATGTTGACAACAATAACAATAACAACAACAATAACAACAAGAACACCAACGGCAGCAGCAAGAAAAAGAAGAAGCAGACGAAGAAGGAAACAACAATAAACATGGCGGGGTTGAGTTTAGTTTTAGGGTTTTTTTGAGTAGTGGGAAGGGGGGTGTGTGGGGCATAGTGGATGGGGTCATTTTCTATGGCATTTTCCGCATTCGCTCGCATAAATCTTAAGCTATAAAATGCGCAGCACTGAGCACTGAGCACTGAGCTCTTTTCTTTTTTCCTTTTTGAAAACTGCAAGTTAAGTATGTATATAGATTTGTATGTAATGGGAATAGTAATAGTAACAGTAATAGTAAAAGGAATAGTAAAAGTGAGAGACAGGCTGCAGCTTATCATCTACTTGCTGCAGAGGGTGGCTAGCAACCCCACAAAAGCAGGGGGTGGTTGCTTACTTTGACAATGCCACGAAATTTGCGCATTGTTGAAAATGCTCAATAAATTAATGAATTTCAGCAAGAAGGAAAATACACAAAATGAAGGAGGAGCAGCAGCAAGGGGGAGTCCGCAACTTGAAATAAGGGAAGGGAAGAAGAGTGCGCGGGTGGGGGGGGGGGGGGGTGTATACTAGGACTAGGCGTTGAAAAGCAGCCAAAGCAAAAGCAAGAAGTGCGCACAGAGGCAAAACACCTGTTAACCTGTGTATATCTGTATGTGTATCTGTATCTGTATCTGTATCTGTATCTGTATCTGTATCTGTATCTGTATCTGTATCTGTATCTGTATCTGTATCTGTATCTGTATCTGTATCTGTATCTGTATCTGTATCTGTATCTGTATCTGTATCTGTATCTGTATCTGTATCTGTGTGTGTGATGATGAGCTGGCAAGCAGCGAATCCGTCTAGCTGCATGTGTGTGTGTGTGTGTCTATGTGTGTGTGAGTGCCCCTTAGCAATGGCACGAGCCGCAGACAGTTGCCCGCTAGTAATTGCCACAGGCGCCCCCTTTCCATGCTCCTCGTGCGCCCCTCTTGCTGCATCCAAGAAGATGGAGCACAAGAAATTGGCAAAAAGAAACAACAACAACAAAACAAAACACAAGAGAAAAAGTACCGCGTGGCCCATATGCAAAAGGAAAGGAATTTGAAGAATGGATTTTTTCTATATTTGTGCATTGTATATGGAGCATAGCAGCTAAATGGGAATAGGGGGGTATAAGGGAGTTGTCTGACGTTGGGTTGAGGAAAAAGAGGCAGCAGAAGCAGTCGACAAGATAAACCAGTTATCCCAATTATCGAACATAATTCCAAGACAATTGCGGACTTGCAGAAAGATAAAGATGTGAAAGAAATGTGTGTGAAAAACATAAAAGGAATGATGACTAAGGCAAGCCTCAAATAACATTGACCAGCCGATCGAGAACTAATCAATTCGAATATATATGATACTAGAGTCAGTAAGTGTTCTAATATTGAATTTAAAGATACAGCCAAATACGGAATATCCTATTTCTGATAATGATGCAGATTCAGGTATCCAAAGTGAGGCTTAGATTGTGCCGATTCTGGATGGAATTTAGCTCAAGACTGGAGTTGAGAAAATGAGAATCAAAATCAAGGAGATCTAATAGGGTTCTGAATGGAATGGAATCACAAAAAATGATGATGGATAGACGATGATGATTAATATATAGACTGATAGATTGGAATTATTCGTCAAATCAAGATTCCGCTGAGTCCATGCATATATACAGATGTAAAAGAGGCAAATTATTAAAGAGCTAGTAGAATCGATTTTCTATTGGGGCTGTCTTAGCTGAATGCCCCGCACTGTAAACGCGGTGCTAATGAAATCAACCATTGCCACTCAATAGGGTCCGTTTTGCAAGTGTATGCAATTTGCATGTTGCACCGTACTCGAACCAATACATATAGTCGGGGCTTTCCTCAACCACATAGCTTTAGATATCACATAAGCGTTCCATAATCAGCGGATGAGAGGGTGGGGAGCCTAGGGGTCGCTATTTAACCCAGAGGTTGGGGACAGCAATGCGATAAATGCGACAGCATGTGTGTAGAGTCACGTAGTCGTAGGAGCGGGGCCCTATGCGGTACGGCTGCTCACCTGTTGTGCGATGACGATCCGGAAGAGGCACTTGTAGAAGAAGAAGATGATGACTTGTAGGCAGGGAGATAGAGAGAGAGAGAGAGAGAGCAATTGAATGCGTGTGTTGGTTAAACTGTTGACTGTCTGTTGAGACTGAGTTGGGCTGTTAACCAACACTGCTCGAGGGTCCCAGGGGACTCGTTTGATTTGTGGTAAGTAGCACTTGTGGACACTAAAGCGTGACGCTGTTATAAGGCATTTTGGTAGCACTTGAGGGAGTATGTAACACTTCAAAAAAAATAGTACGATCTTTGCGATCCAGGCAGATTTATAGGTATATCTGTATATGTATAATGATACAGTTGCTATATCGCTATATCTGTTGGAAGCTGCGCCGCGCGCGTACCACAATAAATGTATATTTATGTATTTATATATATATATGTTGGAATATATTGAAACACAAACGGAACATACGATATATGTACGACGAGGGTTACTATAACAAATATGATTACGATTACGGTTACGGTTACGGATACGGATACGAGTAGGTGTTGGTATTGTTGTCTGGGTGTTAACGGGCGTAGAAAAACTCAATTCAGCATTTTTCGGGGGCGCTTTTTGTAAGTGTTTTATTTATTTATTTTGTATTTTTTATTTATTTTTTTCTTATTTTCAGTTTCAGAGTTGCTCACGCGACGAAACCAACACGTTGAATAAAAGTTCGGGCGAATTTCAAATTCGCTTAAAGCCAATAAGTCAGTCGACGTCGACCGAACAGCGGTGGCGACGCCAGCAGCGGCAGCGCGTTCTAACGCGAGAGCCAAAAGAACAAAACGAAACGGAACGACAGACGAGAGACGACAGACGACGACGACGACGGCGACGACGAAACGAGCTAAAGCCAAATGTAAAGGCGCGGCCCGCCCGTTTGTTGTTGTTATTGTTATTGTTATAGTTGGTGCTGCTGCTGTTTGCTGCTGGCGTTCTAAGCTCGGGGCAACAACAATAACCGCCACTATAAAAAATCTAATAAGAACCTCGTCGGCTGTCGACCGCTCGCGCTCGCTCGCTCTCACTCACTTAGTTGCTCGCACGTTAGCATGTTCGTTCGTTCGTTCGTTCGTTCGTTCGTTCGTCGTTCGTCGTTCCTCGCTCGGGTTTCTTGTGCTTGGCTTTGGTGGTGGGCGACGCACTGAGAAGGCAGCGGGCGGCGTTGCGTTCAAGTCTGGTACAGGCAAAGCACTAAAATTCGACGAGGCGACAGACCGACCGACTGGCCGACTGCTGAAGCGGAACGCTGAAAAACGGAACAGCCACCGCACGGCAAACAAATAAACAAACGCAGCCGCAAACATCGACCCAGTGACGGCGACCACGGCCAGCAATAGTCACGAGGGCTCCTCTGTCCCCACAGCGACCCACAGCGAAAGCAGCGTCGACGCCACTGGACAAACATCAAAAGTAAGCAGAGGAATGCCACGGAATTGAAATGTATCAAGAAAAAAAAAAAACCAACTAGAAATAAAACAATAAAAAGCTTAAAATGTTGCCGTTTGTTTGGTTTGCATTGGATCAAAAGCTAGCGGACTTTGCATATGTACAAATATACATTTGACATACAAACATATCCAAGCACACACATACATACATAACGAAATACATAAGTTCAAGTTCATATGTGAAGAGATAAGGCATTAATTATTAATGCATACTAAAATTAATTCCCCAAAACACATCCTTCAATACCTTCAATAGTAATTCAATTATTTCTTCATTTATTTCAAATTCCAACGAATGAATATTTTAGAGTATTCACATTCAATTAATCTAAATTTTAGATTCTCAAACTTTTTTAATGCACAACAAAAAAAAAACATATTTCACTTAATAGCATTTAAGTCTATATAATAAAATACAAACGACATTCAATAATTAATTTTTAATATTATGGGAAAGCTATAGTTGCCGAAAATGTACTCGGAAGCGAGTCTTTCTCAAACTGCTCTTCACAAAACAAAAAAGAAACACAAAAATGGAAATGAGTTGCGTGTCAGTGTAAATTTGAGGGTGAAACGATTTGGCAGTGAAACAAGCATTTCAAATGCAGCGACAGTGGCGCCATGACCTTAAAGCTGACTTTAATTTGTAATCATCAAACGGGGCAGGCAAACAATTATTGCAGAACCAAATAAGTGTTGCTAAACTAAATGTTGCACATTCACATACATACAAACATATGTACATACTTAATAACATACGGATACATGCTTGCAATTGCAAAAACGATAAGGCAATTGAAACATACTGAATTATTGCATAAACAGCAACAGCAGCAACAACAACAACAACAAAAGGTAGCACCAGCAGCACCAGCACCAGCAGCAGCAGCAAAAACAGGGGAAGGAAGGCAACAAGCGATTTGAATTTGTCGCCAACCTCTGATAAGAGGTAAACACGCTTATCAGCGTGACAGCAAAACAAGGCAGACGAAGGGACGGCGGTGTCGTTAACGGGCCCATGGGCGACGTGCCAATGCTGAAAAGAGTGAGCAAATACACACTCGCATACATACACACACACAGATACACACACACACAGGCACACACGCACACATGCGTATTTTAAATGTTGTGGGCAGTCGACAATCAATCAAATGCTCTGATTTATTTCTCAAAGCGCAGCAAAGAACTAAATTTGTGAGTTAATAACAAATAAAAAACACACACGCACATAAGCATGCACATGTATGTGTGTGTGTGTATGCATGTATGTATGCTAAGTGGATGTGGACTTTCAGGGGAGGCAGCCGGCGAAGAGCCGGCAACGGCAACAAACACAAAACAGAAGAACAGCATAACAACAACAAAACTGGTGAAAAAAAAAACAAATTAAATAATAACAAAGAGCGCTGCTCGTGACTGGAGAGCAAAAGCAAAAGCAAGAGCAGCAACAACAGCAACAGCAGCAACAACAACAACACCTAATGACAACCGGCTGTGTTTCGGTTTCGGTTTCGCTGAAATTTCAGTTCCACTGTTCCTACGCTTGTTTGTCCCACTCACGCGACGACGGGCAGTCGTCATGCGGCCCATTTGAGAGTATCCTAAATTTAGTCACAACGTTTGTAACACCAAGCAGCAGCAGGCTGCTAGCCAACTGCATTTTAAATTCCCAACAGTGCAATATAACTCCACAGAGATCTAATTACCACTGTAGATCTACATATTTATTATTTACTCCATTTTCATTTTTAACTATGCAATAGTTTTTTTTTATTTGCAGCGCATGCTGTATTCGGTGTGCGTAAAGTGCAAAAACTACATTAACATCGCTGTTGCAGTAGCTGCGTCGGCCTCCTCTGTGAATGGATATTAGCAAATTGTGATTAACAGTTTGTTTATTAGAAGTATCTCTTAGTGACACTTTTAATTATTGTACACATATAAAAATAAATAAAATTTTCTTCTATATTCATTATTCATTAGCTTGAAAACTTTAATCACATTCTTACTACATGCACTGCTGTTAATATTCAGATAACATAAGCAAAAAAAAAGAAGAGAATCAAAAAATATATCAAATCAAAACGCTATTGATAATTATGTTTTCGTTTTCATTGATGCTGCTGCTGCTGCTACTGCGCTTTTACTCTGCCTCAGTTGCACACGTTAAGTGGGAAAGAAATATAGAGAAATTGACGCTGCAGCGAACAGACACCGGCGGCAGAGCAACACATTTTGTTTCGCTCACATTTCGTTTCCAGTGTTCCAAGGCCGTCGTTTGACGCGACGACGGGTTCGGCTATCGGTTCGGGTTCGCCAAGTGAATGTTCAGAATCTATTTTTAGGCAACACATCACGTCATGCCGTTTTGCCATACGCTGGCGATGTCGTGATCGCACCGCTGATTGGCCAGACGCAACGGACGGGCAATAGCAACAATCGGCTAGCGACGACAACAACAAGGCAGCGAAAAGCACAAAGCACACACAACAAAAACATAACACAAAAAAGTTCTATGTCGCCGGCGTCGTTGTCGCTTTCGGCTGCTAATAGCGAATTTATAAAGGAATAAAATGAACATTATAAAAGGCAGCGACAGCGGCAGTGGCAGCGAGAACAGCAGTAATAACAACTGAATAGTAAAAGCAGAAATATGGAAATTGTGCAGCGACGTCAACGTCAACGCCAACTTCGACGCCGACGCACAAAGCGTGCCAAAACGTAAACAGCTCACAAATTGCAAAGGAGGACGCGACGACCAACAGCGGCTGCTGTTCGCCTGCTAATGCGTTCCCAGTACAAATCATACACGCACACAAACAGGTGGCAATTTTGTAGCTAGTCAGTCAGCCAGCAAGTCAGTCTTTTGTTTGTTTGTTTGTTTGTTTGCTTGTTTGTTGTTGGCGTCGCAATCCCTGCCCAAAACGCATTCATAACTGAAAATGTTTCTGTTAATGAAATGCAAAAACGTGTTATGTAAAGAATAACAACAGCAACAAACGACAAGTAATTTTAATAGCAATTGCTTTGCACTTATGCATATCTATGAATATGCATTCATATGTATGAATGTATGTGCATATGTATGTGTGTGTACGTGTGCGTGTGTGTGTGTGTATAATATGCACATGCAAATAAAAATTTATCGTTGTGAACTAACAAAAACCATAAAAAAATATGAACAACATGCAAGGGATTTGTATCTATTAAACGAATCATAAATACGCTTAAAAAATACTTTTTTGGAACGTTTAATAATATTTTTATTTATATATATTTTAAATACTCGTATATATATTTTACTACTATGTATTTTACTACTCATAAACAAAGTGAAATATTAAGCATTTCACTCAAGTTGATATCTTCCTGAATTTAAATATTGCAATTCATCAACCATTTCTATATTAAAATTAAAGATAAACTTGAGTTATGTGAAAAAGCAATTCTTCATCTTGACCAAAGAATTACTTTATTCGGTTCTCCTGACTCCGTTCTTATTGCAATGGTTAACTTATTATTATTATTTATATATTTTTTATTATTTTTTTTTATTTTTTTGACACATCAACCTAGCTTTGAACTAACTTGGACTAGCACCTATTACTACTACACTTTGTTATTTTTTTTATACATTTTTTATTTGTTTTTGTTCTATTGAAAGAAATGACAAAACGTATCTTGAAATCGTTAAATCAACATCACATATGATTGGTAAATTGACTAAAGTCATCGCATTAGTTTGTTTTTCGCAAATGCTTAATGCATCGGGCAGTGGACATTCCTCACTGGGAGGGTATTAAAGCGTTTGTGGGTCGCCTTTGATGCGCCTAACAGTAGGCAGCACTGACAGCTGCCCCTCGCAGCTTGCACCCCGTGCAGTCCCATCGAATTGTCGCTAAATAGGCGACTATAAATTTTAATGGCTTTTGTTTGTTACTCATAAGCCCGGCACCCTGCATGTCCCCCCACCACCTCCCCCAACCACTCGACTCGTCTCTTGCTCGATCAGTTTGGTTCGGAACGATTCGTTTCGCGTCGTTTCGTTTCAGTTGCACGGCATTGCAATAAATTGTCAGCTATATGCATCTATCTGTACATGTACTTATATAATATTACTATATATATATATATATATGT